GTATTAAACTTGTTTAGACCTATATTAAGTAAAGTTTTACTTGTTAGATTGGTTGTTTGAAGAAGGTAAGCCTTATCTAAGTTTATAAAATCCAAATTTTTTTTTTGTGTTTAACCAAATTGGGCCTTGCCTTATTGTACTTTATTATTTTATTCACATATGTATTTTATGTATTACAGGAACTACTATTTATGAACAATTCTACGCATCACTAGACTATATTGGCTTGTTGCTGTCAGTATTACCCCAGAAGAGTTGTGCTGAAAATAATGTGTCCAAGCCCCATTAGTATTATTATTATATTATTATGTTCTATTTGGCACTGTGGAAATTTTAAGAGAAAGTTTGAATATGGGAAACTGAGGGTAGTACCTATTTTTGGCAAATAGAACCACTACAGAGAGAATTTTTCTAAACCTGACCACCTGTAAATGAGCGTATCATTTAATTTTCACATTTTTAGAGCTATCCAAGAATATTCAAAGAACTTATCTAACAGACTTACTGCTTATAAATTGTTTCAACTATTGGTACTTACTACTGTTTTGGCTGCCTTCTCAAAATAGGTAACTGTCAGAGCAATCTATTACTAGATTGGAATAAGGCCTTTCTGGAAACTTGCAGGAAGAGACACTAGGTACCACAGGAAAATAATCATCAAGTCATCTTTACTGAAAGCAGACATCTTATATACTTTACAACTTCTAGCAATTATTATAACACCAACCAGATGATCATCATGTCACAATACCTTTTTTGGAAATTACAATCTCAACACCTGCTGGATCAGCGTGTGAAATAGCTTCTCATGAGAAACAGTGCTTATATAGGTTATGGTACCAGATACCATATTAATTCTATTTAATCACTTTTATATAGGGTTGAACTGGTATCTTGTGATTTGACCCGTAAAGTGTTAATTACTACATTATAGACCCACAGGTCATAAAATCTAAATATATTTATTATTTACAAAAATATTATATATAAAAGAATATATATAAAGATCTTTAATTTTGCTTAAAAATTGTAAGATTAAACTTTATTTTATTAATAAATATCATAATTTTTATAAAACAAATTATTATTAATTTTTTCATTTAATTTTGTAAATCTTAAAACTGTACTAATTTTATTTTATTTTATTTTTTACTGCAAACAAGTATAAGATGCAAGACTTTTATTAAATAAAAGTTTATAGTCATTATATTAAATATCTATTAAAGTTAATATTCACCTATTGTATATTGTGAAAGGGAGAATAAAAATAATAGTAATGCAATTAGATCATGTAATTGACGATTAATCCAGGATCATGAAAAGAAAAGAAAGATAAAAATAGATCTGAAACTGGTGCTTGTAACGAAATAATAATGATGTAATTAGTATTAGATTAGATAATAGCACCAGAAAGTAGTAGAAATTTTCTTACCTTTTGTTATATTTCCAAATTATTCCTAAACTTTTCTTATAAAAAAGTATAAAATGTTAACATTTATTCTTTAAAATAAAGGAATGTAGATAATGGTGACTAAAGTAAATTAACAAAGAGAAAATACTTACCTTGGTTAAATTGAACGCCTCACCAAAACTATCCCTATCACAATATAAAACTTTTGATATAGTATTATATTAAGTAGGTGGTATTATATCAAAAGTAGTTTATAAATGATTTATTCCTATTCATAAACAGTTAAATTAGAAAAAAAAGCAGAAAAATTTTAATGATTAAGTTTTTGATATATTGTTTGAATCTATAAAACTGTAATAGTAACTGTTTTCAATTTGAAAATTATTAATTGGGTTTTGAATTTGTTGCTTGGATCCATGAAATCATATGGCAACTGTTTGAGAACTGAGTAAGACATACAGTATAAAAAGCCCAATATTTTTATGACTGTAATATTGATATTGTTAAAGATATTTTAATTAAAAAAATTATTGAAGTACTTTTGTTACTTATTGTTGTTATTGTTATTGTTATAAACATATATAAACCAGTTTAATTGTCATTAGATATGTTTGTTAAGTTTGTATTAATTGTTTAGAAAAGTAGAATTGATTTTGATTTTTTGTGTTACAAAAATTTTGTAAATTTTTAAGTGAGCAGCATTGTATATCAAGAGAATAGTTAAGAATATTTGGTTAAGATAAGCAAAAGATCCATTAACTTTGCTTAAATATGGCTTTATAAAATAAATTTACAATATTAATGATTAATGTAAAGATAGTATTCATGATTATTAAAAAGAAAAAAGTATATAAAGACAAAGTTATAAAGAAGAATTGACATAAGCCATTTTTTATTAATCAAAAAACAAACAAGACTCTCAAACTTAATTGATCTTTAACCAGAAATCATATTCTAATGTAACAGTGGTCCTTAATGTCCTTATGTTTTTGAGTTTACAACATAGTTAACATATTGAAAAGAGAGAGAAAAGTGCTTTTTTCAAGAAAATTATCATAAAAGAAAATTTTTAAGAAATTAGAAATAAATAGGTATGAATTTTTTTTTAGTTAACTATACTAATTTATATACTTTTAAAAATTTAGTATATTATATTGATCTTTTCAAACAAAGTATTTTTCTATTATTAATTTATTATTGTTTTTTTTAAGATAAAAACAATATATAACAATATACAAAATTATTAATATAATAATAAAAAACATATATATTTAATAAAGTCTTATATTTAATACTTATTTGCAATAAAAATTTTTTTTAGAAATTTTTATTAATAGAAAATTATATAGAGCCTAATTATAATATACTGTATAATTTAATATTTTTTTTTTAACAGATAGCTTATTGAATATTTTATTGAGTATATTACAAACTTTTACAAATTTGAAACTCTATTTATTTCATACAAAGATGCAAAATTTAAATCTGCAATTGAATTTTTACCTTTAAGGCCTTTATTTGATAAGTACATGTAAACTCTTGAGAATAATCTCTTTTTGGTTTTTTTAGTCATTATAATAGCCAGAGTATTTTTTTTCAATTGTTCGGCACCTAAGGGACTACAGTATGTACTTTCATATACTGTATATAGTATGATAATGTGAATATAATAAAGATATTGTAAGAAGTAAAAATAAATGAGGTTGTCGTCACCGGCGAGTCTGTCGCTAAAACGGCTCCCTCTTTGCGTGACGATAATCCAAACGCTTGGATTTCGGCACCAATTAAGGTAAGGCTTTAACTCCGAGGCGGATTACGATTTGACTGACTTTCGCGCACTTGATAATCTATTCTTGACTGTCTTTCCCTAGGCGCGTCTCAAGATTACAAGTGTCACTCTCTTCACGGTGCACAAAGGTAACGTCGCATCACTCTTTCTTAAAAGCGTTTACTTTACTATAGTGGCGTCGATTTAGTTTATACTTTAGGAATGTAATAGTGTTTATTGTGCAAAGTAAAATAGCGTTTAATCAATAAAATGCAAGCGAACCAAAAAATAAAGGAGTGTTCTAAAAACTAAATTCCTCTAAAATTTCGGAACTGGTACCTCTTGTTCTAACGCTACATAAACTATCCTATTTATATGCTTTGTTGACGCGTTTATATTCATTACATGCTATTATCAATTATTACATCATTCTGCTATCACCAACACTATTGTCACGTTCCCATCCCTATTGTTCCCACAACAATGGTTTAGATGCAATAATAATTACGTGACCAATCTTAACCGGAGTATCGCAAAACATCAACCTGTAATTATGTGATTGACTAAAGACGAATAATATGAAGAAAGAATATGAAAATATTATGTAAATTGAAATTACTACGTTTAATAGCTTCTAAAGTTCCATCTACTTCGATCTTTTACCTTTACACTCTAAAAGTTTTCATTCAAATATTTGTCAAATATGTATGAAAAGTCAAAGAAAGTATCTATTAAAGACAGAATTCATTCAGGTCTAATTTTTCTCTTTTGAGTTTGATTGATAAACTAAAGTGGTGGTTACACGAATTTGGCTCTTCGTTAGTGACAGACTTTCCATTCACACGTCATTATAGGTAAGCAATAGATAAAACTCTGGTTAGAGAAAGTTCAAAATAAAAATCAATTATTTTAAGTATTAATATTAAATATATAACATACTGTATACTGTATATTATTGAAGATTTTAGCACATATATGGGACTTTACCATTGTCCTTATGCAGTGAAGAATGCTATCAACCAGAGAGATATCGAGTTCACTCGAATTCTTCTATCCATGTGCCATGTATAGAGAATGGTAAATTGACATTTGGCGCATGTAGGACTAATACTGGTAAGTATCGGTTTCATAATCATTAGCAAAAAAAAATCAGAGGCATTTTGAAAAATTACATAGCGAGTGAGTATACAGACATAGTGCAATAAAGTATCACGTGAGTTTGTCTCAAATAAAAAAATTGGTAGAAAGCTAGATTCCTTAAAGTCTGGCTTCAAAAAAAGACTGTCATCGACAATTGTCGAATCCCACCTTTATTATTACTATTTTTTTTTTATAGGTATACAATATATATAGCCTATATTGAAGGTATGTATCAAGTATGCCTATATCGAAGGTGGGTATTATATATATGTAAATTATGTAATGGGTGTATATCAAAGATATACCATAGGAAAAGGTTTAATTTTTTTCCTTGAATTCTATTATTCTACTTAACTTGTAACCAATATATAATCTTATCCATAAAGAAAATACAGTAGCAGTTTTAAAACTCTTAACAGATATCACGGGTTTGGTCACAAGTACGTACCTACGAGCAACCTTGTGAAAACTTGTGACTTTTGCATTAGATTACCGTAATACGAACGTTAAAATTAATGCTAATATAGAATAGATAAATTACTTAATTAATGATCTTCTAATTATAATTGAACGTTTTATACTATAAATTATTTAAGGTCAAAGCTATATTTTAAAACTTTCAAAGATTATTTATAAACGGCATCAAACATACCTGCTGAACTTATTTTTACAGCAAAAACTATGTATGTGATTGGAGAAAAAGAGAGACGAGAAAGGAGAGAGAGAGAGAGAAAAGAAAAAGAAGAGAAGGAGAGAAAAGAAAGAGAAGAGAGAGAAAGAAAGGAAAGAGAAGAGAAAGAGAGAAAAGAAAAAGAAAAGAGAGAAAGAAAAGAAAGAGAAGAGAAAGAGAAAAGAGAAAGGGAAGAGAAAGAGAGAAAAGAAAGAGAAGAAAGAGAAAGAAAAGAAAGAGAAAAGAAAGAGAGAAAACTAAGAGAAGAAAAAGAGAGAAGAGAAAGAGAAGAGAAAGAGAAAAAGGAAAGAGAAGAGAGAGAAAGAAAGGAAAGAGAAGAGAAAGAGAGAAAAGAAAGAGAAGAGAGATATATAAAAGAAAGAGAAGAAAGAGAAAAAAAAGAAAAAGAAGAGAAAGAGAGAAAGGAAAAAGAAGAGAAAGAGAAAAGAGAAAGAGAAGAGAAAGAAAGTAAAGAAAGAGAAGAGAAAGAGAGTAAAGAAAGAGAAGAGAAAGAGAGAAAAGAAAGAGAGAGACTAGAAATAAGTGGGAGAGAGAAAAAAGAAAGAGAAGAAAAAGAGAGAAGAGAAAAAGAAGAGAGAGAGATAAAAGAAAGAGAAGAAAGAGAGAGAAAAGAAAGAAGAGAGAGAGAGAGAAGAGAAAGAGAAGAGAGAGAGAGAAGAGAAAGAGAAGAGAAAGAGAGAAGAAAGAAAGAAGAAAGAGAGAGAGAGAAGAGATAGAAGTATGAAAGAGACTAGAAAGAAGTGAGAGAAAGAGAAGAGAGAAGAGAGAGAGAAACTAGAAGGAAGAGAAAGAGAGAGAAAAGAAAGAGAAGAGAGAGACGGGAGGAAAAAAGAAAACGAAGTAACATTCGTCGCCCATTTGTTAGCTTTTATATTAACTTCTATTTTTTATACTCTTTTGCATAAAGTATCAAAAGTAACTTTAAATTTTTTTGATCGCTTACAGTAATGAGAAATAAGGATCAATATTTTTTTGTTATGAACTTTACAACAGTATATTGCCAAAAACAATTTTTATTTATTATTATATATTAATTATACAGTGGTTTGAAAAAAAAATTGGAATTTATATCACGTGATAAATTTAGTAATAATTTTTTGTATGACACATACTA